AAAGCTTCATTAGTGCTTTTCTGCCTGGGGTTCGGTAGATTTGTTTGAATGTGTTATACCCCAGATAGGAATCCCATGGAGCCCATTCGTATGAAACTGACTGCAAAGACTTTGGCTCCATGGCGATTAAACTGTATTCGTGTGGTCTGAGCGCCATTCGCTTAATAATGTGCGCTCAGACCTGAGCTATCTGGGGATATGTTAAATGTCTGTGTGTTTTGTGTAAAAGGTGACTTTATGTATTTTAAAGTGTTTTACTGTCTTTGTGTCACCATGTGCATAATGGAGTCTTGTCCCTGTCCTGGGAGATAATTGAATTACTTCTCACTTATCTCCAGGGCAGAGGAGAGGAAGCCAGGATGCATTGTGGTAAAAGTTATGTGTATTGGGTTACCTCTCAGGATAAGGGGGAGGGAATCTGTGGGTTGTAACTAATATGTTACTGGATATTTTATACCTCCCTGTGGGCGGTCCTGTATTTGCAAGACTGTAATAAAAACCAGGCTGGGTGTGCCAGCACCTGAGACCACTGCTTGACCCTCAACACAGAGCCTTGTCTCGTTCTTGGGGGGATTCACTGTATGCTGTTAGAGACTGATTGCCAGGAGTGTAAGCTGATTGTCTGCTTTTCCTGTTCGTCTGCTAGCAGCTATTTGGGAGGTTCCAGTTCGGGAGTTGGAGTGCTATTTTGTATCCAGTTCGGGAGTTTGGTGTTCTGCAGTAGCTGTGCCTGTATCTCTGGAAGGGGAAGATCTCTTAAACGGCTGTTAACCCCTTTTTACCCCTTTTGTGCAAAACGGTCCATTACAATTGGTGGCAAGCGGCCGGATCGTTCCTACCGCCAGAAGGACAGCTACAGGAGACACCATTTATTTGGATTTACAAGTTAAGGGCAACGCATGTCCTAGTACAGCGACCCTGACAGCACCAGGATGGAACCAGCAGTGGAGTACAGCTACTCTATGAGAGAGTATGACCGGATGGTGTGGTTTCACCTAAGCTTCTTCGGATCCAACCCACTGGAGAGATCGGTGCGGTTCGTGAGGAACCTAGTGTTCGAGAGGCTGCAACAACGGGCAGAAAGAGAAGGTCAGTTGGCACGTTGGGAGGAACTCCAGCGGCAGGTACTGCAGGGAATTGGGAGCCCAGTCTCCATTCCCCAGCGGCAGTGTGAATTGCAGGGAATTGGGAGCCCAGTCTCCATTCCCCAGCGGCAGTGTAAAGTGCAGGGAGAGGAGAGCAGCGTCTTCCCTCCCCAGCGGCAGGCTGAGTTACAGGGGGCAGAGGTAGTTGTTCCTGCCCCCCAGCAGCAGTGTGATATGCTGGGAAGGCAGTGTGAAGTGCAGGGAGAGGAGAGCAGCGTCCTCCCTCCCCAGCGGCAGGCTGAGTTACAGGGGGCAGAGGTAGTTGTTCCTGCCCTCCAGCATCAGAGTTATATGCTGGGAATGTAGTGTGAAGTGCAGGGAGATTAGAGCAGTGTCCTCCCTCCCCAGCGACAGGCTAAGTTACAGGGGGCAGGGGTAGTTGTTCCTACCCCCCAGCAGCCAAGTGATATGCCGGGAAGGCAGTGTGAAGTCCAGGGAGAGGAGAGCAGTGTCCTCCCTCCCCAGCGGCAGCGTGATTTTTTGGAAATTGGGAGCCCAGTCTCCATTCCCCAGCGGGAGATAAAACAGGGAATTGGGAGCCCAGTCTCTATTCCCGGTAGGACACTCTGCCGCTGGGGAATGGAGAGCCCAGTCTCCTTTCCCCAGCAGCAGGACTCTGTATTGGGAGCAGAGACAGTCGGTCTCCCTCCCCCGCGGCTTGATGTATGTATGGGAGAGGAGCTTGTTACCCCCTCTCCTCAGCGGCAGCTTAATGTACCCGGGGGAGACAGCCCCACAACTGTGCAGATGGGACCGTGGTCTCTGCACATACAGCACAGGGGGTAGGGACGGTCAGTTCTGCCCCCCAGCGACAGGGCTGTGTAGCCAAAGGGGAGACAGTAGGTCTCCAGCAGCAGAGCTGTGTAACCAAAGGGGAGACAGTCGGTCTCCAGCAGCAGGACTGTGTATCTAAAGGGGAGACAGTCGGTCTCCCCCTCCAACAACCAGGCTTCAACCAGCCTACCCTCCCAGTAGCGCTGGCAACAGGGCAGAGTGCCGCTGGTCTCTGCCCATGCAGCACCCCACCAAGTCAGCGTACCCGTACCTAGCACAGCCATTGTGAGGCACCTGGACATGGACAAGCTTCTCCTCTACCCAGGTGTAGTAACCATTTATTGTGGGTGGGCTGTGCTGTTGATTATGTCTTGTGGATGGGCTGCTGGACTAACAAGGGCACTGACCGGCAGGAGGTCAGATACACTGTTAGTCTGTTTGGAAAAGGGGAGAGATGTGACGAGACCAATCTCGCCACATTGCATTGGAGAAGCCTGGTTGCTCGCCTGCTGCCTTTGGACTATGGCCCCTGTTAAAAGACATCTTTTTTACCTGCAGAAAAGCTTCATTCGTGCTTTTCTGCCTGGGGTTCGGTAGATTTGTTTGAATGTGTTATACCCCAGATAGGAATCCCATGGAGCCCATTCGTATAAAACTGACTGTAAAGACTTTGGCTCCATGGCGATTAAACTGTATTCGTGTGGTCTGAGCGCCATTCACTTAATAATGTGCGCTCAGACCTGAGCTATCTGGGGATATGTTAAATGTATAGTTTTAATGTAATGTGTCTTACCTGGTGTATTTTAACAGTAATGCTTGTTTTGTGTCACCATGTGCATAATGGAGTCTTGTCTCTGTCCTGGGAGATAATTTAATTACTTCTCAATTATCTCCTGGGCAGAGGAGAGGAAGCCAGGATGCATTGTGGTAAAAAGTATGTGTAATTGGGTTACCTCTCAGGATAAGGGGGAGGGAATCTGTGGGTTGTAACTAATATGTTACTGGATATTTTATGCCTCCCTGTGGGCGGTCCTGTATTTGTAAGACTGTAATAAAAACCAAGCTGGGTGTGCCAGCACCTCAGACCACTGCTTGACCCTCAACACGGAGCCTTGTCTCGTTCTTGGGGGGATTCACTGTATGCTGTTAGAGACTGATTGCCAGGAGTGTAAGCTGATAGTCTGCTTTTCCTGTTCGTCTGCTAGCAGCTATTTGGGAGGTTCCAGTTCGGGAGTTGGAGTGCTATTTTGTATCCAGTTCGGAAGTTTGGTGTTCTGCAGTAGCTATGACTGTATCTCTGGAAGGGGAAGATC